AAATTACTAAACATATGTCAGATGGTGCATTAGTACATACATATTCCTCTAACTGTAATATCCTCGCCACCAGCCTACCCCCTGTTCCTGGAGAAGTATTTTTTTCAAGTAGGCTAGGCAGAACAAGATTAATCTAAGAGGGCATTCATGTTCAATGTCCTGTAGACTTTTAATTATCTAAATTTAGAATCAATGTTTATATTTTTTAATCACAGTGAGATAATTCTGTATTATTGCCATACAACTACATATCTGTACAAAATGTGCACCGTTGGCAATCACAACCTCCCTGACCTGTAGAACAGATTTTTATAAAATACATTTTTTTCAGACTGCAATAAAACAAATAATTTCAAATAGTCTGTTTGAAATTTAATGTACTTTCATAACATGTCATAATCACATAAATAGTAAACGGTCAGATTTTTATCCGTTTTATTGCAATAACTTAAAGATCCGATTTCGGAGTTCCTATAGGTACTTTATGTCAAATAGGAGCCAACGTACATCCCTTAGCGGCGATATAACTTTATGAAAAAAATAAAAAATGATATTTAACCTTATTTATCGCGACCTGTATCCTCGTCCAGTAACCCGTTCCACAAGTTTTCACCGAATAATTTGTACACTTTCCCCAGAAACTTACTTCGATTTTCGTCAGAATGCCCGGATTAATATGTCTAAGATGAAAGCTTCATACCGTTACATAAAGCAATTTTTGTTTGAGAAATAAGGGCTAAAGAGAAAAACTGCTTTTCATCATATTATTGAGAACAGTTTCTGAAACACCACACCAACTGTTGCATTTTATGTGCATTTTGTTCACAGCGTTTTTGTTATATTCTTCTATATATCCACTGCCGACTTTTAATTTTGGATAAAAAATAATTGACTCTCATGATTTTTCTCCTATTCATAGGACAGACGACTAGGGTGACATAAAGAGCACAAAAATTCATAGCATTATAATTACTTTACCTTAGGCGAGATCACACGTTTAGAAAGTTGAGCTGGTATATCTCATAAGTACAAGAATACAAAACAAGTTGCGACACAGACCTTTATACTGTGGAAACCTAGAAAGAGCCGACCTCATGAACGAAAGTTCAAAAACCTGCTTCGGCGATACATCAATGTTTTATCGATTAATCCGATTTCTCTACTCTCGACTTCATCAGGTGTGAACAATGGTGTCAGGATAGCAGCTTCCTGCTAAAATGGCCTGCCGGATATGATTTAAAACATTGATGAATATCGTATTTTGGCTCCTCAATTCAAGGAGTCTACAGCAGAAATGACTTGCTTGCAGTGGTGGTTTGGGAATATGGGTGACAATTTTGTCCACTTGCATTTCTCCACTCAGTGAATTCAATTCGGATGTAACATTCTTAAGACTCTGATTTTTGGTAGCTGAATGGTTCCACAAAATAACTAAGGACCAATAAGTACTTATCTTATTTGAAAACTCAAGGTTGTTCGTATGGTTTACCTTATGCAATCGTTAACATATGGTGAATATTTCGTGATTCTTGGGGCACCAGAATAAATCATTTCTTGTAACAAATGAAACTGTCCGTGGCCAATTATTTTTATTGGCATTATCGTATGCATGTTAACTTGATTGTTCTCTGAGCAATTTGGTACTAATAAGGGCACAGAAGGTCACCAACATTATCATTTTACCTCCGGTGGTCCTGCGTGACTTACATAACCAGACCACACTAGGACTTCACGACCACCTCCTGGTGATCAGTTAAACATGTACGTAACCAATACTTTTAACAGCAAGTTGGAAATGAGTGCAACACGTTAAAGTGACAAAGTTTGAAAATATGTAATTATAATATTATTTTCAAGCACCTTCCTTTCTCTTGTGTTTCATTTAGTTTGACTTTCCATTTCTATATCCACTCCAAGTCGCTGTTAGCAGTCTGTACCTCACAACTAGTGAGCGGTAATAACTGACCACTATATATCTCGGATCCTAACGAAACCTTGACTCAAGGTTGTTACCATGACAACGGCGAATATTTTTTGATGGCTTTAAAAAACAGAACGGCCCCAAACCTTATTCTGATAGTGCTTTCATCATTTTGATAATTTTTAGACGTACTCAGGAATTTTTGTTTAGTTTCAGTATTTATGAAAATCTTAAACTCTGTTTTTCAGTCTTTGTCAACTTATAACCTAACTGGGACGTAGTCAAGAGCTATGTCCGGCTGCTTACCTCCATCCACTCTCAGCGACTCCTGGGCTTCTATTTTTGAAAACGAGGGCGTATAATTACTGAGAGGAAGTAGACGTGGTTCCTTCCTTAGGGAATGTGCCCAAATTCTGATAGCTGTTGGCATTTGTTATCTGTAATTGCACCTGTTTTTGGCAAAAATATGTTCCTGGGTTCATCATTTCATTAAATATCTCATCACAAAGCTGACTTAGTTTTTAGAGATGTGACAGACAACGATGACACTTTTTGCCCCAAGAATGATTCGGGGAACTACATGTGTTCAGGGATACAGATCCTCCGAATGGTAAAATGACGACATTCAGAGTGACCGGCGAGAAATTTAGGGGGTTCAACACCTAAAATCAAGCATTTCTCAAATGTCCTCATCCGCGACTAATGGCGCTTAGAAATTTCGTATACCTTAAATTCTAATAACGTAGACTATAGCTTTACAAGCCTAGAAGAGGGAGCAGAAACGTATACGTAGCTAAAAAAAGGTAAATACATCGGACTAGGCAAGTACTAACGCAAGTAAATAAAAGTAGTACTAAAAATTCGAACGATAAAGGCAACAAGGGTCCTTACAGTAGATAACGGAGTTGAAGCTGTCGGGACACCCACTTTCCATGAAGTCAAGTTAGAGTCGGGTGGAAGTGAAGAGTAATATGTAAAATCAACTCCGCCTGGTTCTTAATATGCAGAATAAAATATCAAGTTGATATTGAAGCCTTAAAAATGATTTACTTTGCTTATGTAAATTCTATGATAGAATATACCATAGTAGTTTGGTTTTACTCTTCGAAACTCATAGAGCTTTTTTGTGCAAGAAAATGATTTTGAAGACAGTGCGAAAATTACCCTATATCACATTTTGCAAAGAGGACTTCAAAAGTTAAAAAAATTGACAGTACGTATGTCTATATATGTTGATGATTATGATACATAGGTACATGAAAACAGTTACTATAACAACGCTGTGGTAAAACTAAGACATATGATGAAAGCTCATAATATAACGACGTAAAGGTCTTCAATGCTTGACTGGCCCGTATAAAAAACTGCCCAAATACATATATGGCTTCAAAAAACGTCGCGAACGTATTTGATAGAAAAGGTCTTTTACTGTTTGAATGGATATTTTGATAGTTCAAAGCTTTTCAATGTACGAATATTATTTATGTATGTTTAAATAATATGATGTTGATATATGGAAATCATGGACCTGTTTACTTTTTTTGTATTGAGGTTGTGTGTGTTTATTATTGTAAACCTTATGATGATAAATAAGAATAGGTGTTCTTTCTGGTGCAAAAGGAATGAATTTCATTGTTTCTTCGTAGGGATGCAGCTAAGCAATTCTTTTACAATTTTGAATATACATGATATGGTTATTAAGTAAATTATTGTTATGATAATTAACAGCATGGAATCCAGCAAAGGACGGATTCTGTTATGTTACATATTGTCGGGTCAAAACACATCCACTGAAACACTTAATTCAAAGTAATATACAAAACGAATATTACACCGGCTGACATGGATTCTAACAAGCACAACACAAATAATATTCGAGTAAAAAATCAAGCGTAATAGAAGAAAAGCATACGAGTAATGCATGCTTACTGGCTTTACAAACAAATATAGAAAATGGCTGAAGATTGGCTCAGACAGAGTTGAGATGAAAACAAAAATGAAAAATCTATGTGTAACACTGGATAAGCATCTTTGTTGCAAATAGCTGAGAAAAAATTGGAGTTCGTATTGAAAGAAGCTTACAAGAGATCAGGGCAGTTTATTCTTTCCTTACCAGACAAAATCCTTTGGGAAATCCTACCAGTATCCCTTTATATATCTCCATCTCCCTCATACATTCACATGCAACCTACCCCAGTGTGTGAACGTTTGTTTGGTAAACCAAAGACATACGCTTTTTAGTTGTGTGTCTCCGTCTCGAAAACTTTGTCATTACGAATGAGTGCCCTTCAATCATATTGGTCAGAGTGACAACTTACTTGACATCGACGTTCTTATTTGGGTTGTGCTGTTATCAATCTTCAATATAAATACAATGCCCGAAAGACGAGCAATGAGATGGCTGACAGCTCGTGCTAAATTTATTAGAGTATTTCCAGGAATAGAATGAAAACAGCGGTTCTCTGTTACCTACTTCATGCGTACTGGAGAGAGTAGCAGGTAGCATGGTACGGAGACTCGATCTGTTTAATCTGTCTACTTCATATGGTGTTGATGACGTAACCGCCAAGAACGGTGACTACAAGTACATCATAGACATATCCAGTGGATGATAACCAAGACGAATAGAATATACACCACTAACACACATACATACGGAATACCAAAAAGGGCACTAAACCAGGATGCAGGGCAAAGGGTCGAAAGAAAGACGAACAGGTGAGAAGGCCAAGTTTCAGAAGACGCACACAGCATGCTAGGTGTAGAGTTGTAGGAAAGAGCAGCGTCAGATCGGACTGACTAGAGGCATGCAGAATAGGTTGCAGGCCGAGACTAAATTTGGGCTGTAGTACCATTAAAGAAAAAGAAAATTTTGAACGGGCTTCTATATCAATGCGTAGAAAGCACTGATTCCACTTCGATTATTTTTTAATCTTAAATTTTGTTTTACCTCTCCTACAAGGTGATTTTATTAGAAGGCACATCGACTTGGCAACAGTGCCGTCACCGCCGGCGCCGGTGCCGCCGCCTCCACCGCGGCGGCGGCGTTGGTGGCGGCAGCGGCGACAGGTCGGTGGCAGTTTGACCGCCGCAGCAGACGCAGCCGCAGCCCGACGTGCACCTGCGAGGGCAAAGCGATGCTCCGAGGTCATGCCGACCTCGCCGCTACCGGCCTCCTCCTCAGTCGCCTCAACCCAACAGCAGCAGGACGATCAGGAAGACGAAGACCTCGCACAACTAGGCAGATGGCTCGAGAGGCATCCGCACTTGCTGGAGAGGTGGCTCAAGGAGCAGGCTTCGCAGGTAATGGACTTCACTCGCTCAGATAACTGCATGCTCATTAAGTAATGTGAGGTAGCTTATTCTGGGTGCTATATGTCTGAATAGGTATTTGAACCAGAAAAACTGTTCCGGGCAGGTAAAATCCTAATTTTCTTACTTCTTAAAGTGGAAGTATAAAATCTATTCTTGAAAAGTATAGATGTACATTACTAGGGCCCATTTTATTTAATCTATTTATGAACGATTTATTCAAATTAAGTAGAGCGGGTAAAGTTATAGGTGTTGCTGATGTCATAGTGGCAAACTCTCACCACAGTTTAGGAAGCTTGAATTTCAAACACGCAGTGACCTCAAAGAGATTCAGTGAACCGATAAAACAAAATACTTAGGCGTAGTTTTGGATAAACACTTGAAGTGGAATGCCCATGCAGTGTACCTGATGAAGAGACTGGGATGCACTATTCCAAAGATATTATGGATAAAAAAATATCTATACAACCTATAATCTATATGCTCTTGTTTATCTTTTGCTACTTACCGAATTTTGACCTGAACGTATATTAATCACAGAAAGATTGATATTATCCAAAAATTAATTATTAAGGTGATCCTCTATAAGGAGACTTCTTATCCAAGTGATTATATCTATATGACGGCTCGGCTATTAGATTGCAAGCAACTTTACTTTTATACTGGTCTAGTACATTACAGCACACATTCGAAACTCTGTATCATTCTCAACATAACAAGACTCGATCAAAATTCAGTGTCTGTTCCAAAATCATTTTAACAATACAATCCAATCCTTCACTCGTTGCTAGCATACTCCAAATCTTTGAAACCTATTATATTCTGTGTTATCATTATTATATGGTAACTCTAAATTCATGCTACAGCTTAGATAGTTCACATACAACTTGAACAGCCACTATCAAACGTCAGTGTGACAATCTGATTGTGCCTTAAATAGAAAGCAAAACATGTCACACCCAGCATTTCTATTTTTATACATCAGATGTTCTGTAGACTGTACTACTCGATTTGATAATAGCGAAGCATCATCAAGGGATGTCTTTCAATCACATTGTTGTTTGATATTGTCAGAGTGTCGCTCTGGCAGATAGGGTTGTTGCCTACTTTATGGAACTATGGAGAAAATGGTTAAAATTGAATAACGATCTAAACTTAATTAGGATATGTGCCACTTATTATCCTCTTTGTAAGAGTCTACTGCTCAAGATTATTGTTTTGTTAACCTAATAAATAGTGCTACGCTACTAAACTAAAAAATATTTTTCACTGTAACTAGATTGCATAGTTACATTTTCTCTTATCAACTGTTACATTTTATGATTTGTATTTATAAGCAGTGTCCCAAAATTCAGATAAGATTTGAATAAAATAGAAAATACAATTACAAAATAGTATTATACCTATATGGAATAGCGCAGAGCAAGTAAGTGACTATCTTGACGTCCCACTTTTTTGTAAAAAGGTTTGATGACCATTTTCGTTAAGACAGTGTTGGATATCCCCGATCGATGCACGGGAATCCTAGGACTTATAGGCATTGGGATTTGACTCCAAATAACCTTATAAAAATCCAACTGTGTTAAATCACAAATATGCTATAGGAAAAGTGGTTTCGGTTAAGATCAATGAGTTTTTATATGCTATGCGTCTTGGAATCCTTAGCAAATGCCTCTATGGGCACATGGCCCCAAGCTCAACGAGTCCCAAGATATAGATGCCCGTCCAAGTCAGTACAATGGGATATTGGTCCTAGTCGGCTATTTGCTTTATGTGTGAAGGTGGTTTCGGTAGATTCCGAATGAATGCTGTGTCCTGGCGTCCTGAACAAATGCATTACTAAAGGCCGTATCGTTCCTACAATTATTACAGGACGCCTTTTTTGGCCTCCTTGATTTTGATAATCCTTTCTCTCCTTCGGAAAGGCTGAGGTATTTTTTTAGATTTCTACTGTTCCGTGTTAGCGTCAGCGCTCTCGTATTGTGAGGCACTGTTGTAATTTTGAATTGTACGAAATTTCAGGCTATATAACAGATGATATAAGTCCGAACAGATGCAAATGGTTATTTGTAATATAACCTCAAAATAGAGCGCTGACATCGAACTGTTGAAAACTAGGGAGATCCAGAAGGCCATAAAGGCGTCCTACAAATTGTACGATACGGCCCTAAGCACAGGCCCTAGAGCTCAATGGGTCCCCAAATATAGGCCGTCCAGGTTTAAGTATAATGCATGGTCGATTGTACTCAGCTGTCTGCTTTATCTAGAAGAGTGGTTTTGGTTAATTTCAATCTCCTCCCCTCTCCCATGTATCTCAGCCTCAAAACTCAACGGGTACCAAGATATCGCTGAATTCGCTGAATTTCTTATATGTTATGTGCTTCGACGTCCTAAGCAAATGCCTTAATGAGCATAGGCCCATAAACTCAACAGGTTCCTGTACATTAGTCGTCCAAGTATACCGAAACCTCATTATACTTAGGCGGCCTATATCTTGGGACCCGTTGGAATTTATGCCCTTTTGAGATATTTGTTGAGGGTGTCGAGATACAAGGGATTTTATTAGTTCGGCCATATCAAGTGGAAGAACTCTTCCAGAGTAGACAAGTAGACAGAGTAGAACCAATACCCCATTACACTGACTTAGATTTTCCTATATCTTGGGACCCGCTGAGATTTGGTGCCTGTACGCAATAAGGTATTTGTTCAGGATACCAAGTCGCGTACGGTATCATATGAAAAATTCAGCAAAATTAACTAGAGCTACTCTTCCACTTAAGTCAGGTATACATGTACGGGTGCTCTATTATACTTAGGCGACCTATATCTGGGAAGTTGTTGCGATTCGAGGTTTGTACCCTTTGAGACATCTGTTCAGGATGTCGAGATACATGATTATTGCAAAACTCAGTCATAATAACCTAAACTACTCTTCTATAGACAGCAGACGACTTGTAAAGGCTGTGAATATGGGGACAAATTTGGAGAGGTCGTTTGCTTGATTGGCTAGTCCCTACACTGATAAGCTTCTAAAAAAAAAACTGTATATAATACTGGTTCAAATCATGCGTAATTAATGAGTTGATTTTTGGAAAAGATATCTTGTAAATGTTCAATAAACATACTGAGTTGTTTGTGAGTCAATTGCAGCACGTTAGTGTCTGATTGTTGTCCTAGCTGTATGGCTTGTTAATAGAGAAGTCTGATGGACAATTCTATGCGAGAACTAAACTTGTTTTTCTAAGGCAACACCATTACGAGAAACTGCTTGTTCAATTTTCTTGGTGTTGTTTTCAAAGGTAGACTGAAGGTGATTTACTTCAATAAAGTGAGCTTGATTATTACGGAGCGCTTTCTGATTCACAAAAATTTGGTCAGGATCGAGGTTTCTAGAAATGTATTTTATAATAGTACCTAAACCATTGACTAATGCTCGTTTAACTCTAAATTTTCTTAAAACTTCGAACTTAGTATACTAAGTGGCATATAAATCCGAACACCCAGTTTAAATGGTTTTACTTTAATCAAATTTTGTATAAGTACTAAATGAAGCATAATAAGTAAATGATGAAAATTTCAAAATGATTGCACTGCTTTAAAGCCCTTTGACCTTTAATAATGTGTGGATGCACCCTGATGTGCTATGCATTCTCCAACGCGCCTAGGCATGCTTCTGATCAGGTGGTCAATGTCCTCCTGTGGTATCTCATTCCAGGCATCCACCAACTCCTCTCGAAGTGCTTCTAGAGTCTGAGGAGGACGTTGCAAATTGAGCAATCTCCTACCCATCATATCCCACACGTGCTCAATTGGGGATAAGTCGGGAGATCTTGGTGGCCATGGTAACAATGTGACATCATTATGTTGAAAGAAGTCTATTGTGACTCTTGCAACATGTGGTCGGGCATTATCTTGTTGGAAAGTTGGATCTGCCAGGGTGTCAAGATAGGGTAAAAGATGGGGTTCTAGAACTTCGTGGATATAACGCTGCGCGTTCATGTTACCTCTGATGAAGATTAAAGGTGACCTGGAACCATAAGCTATAGCACCCCAAACCATAACTCCAACAGTGTGATGAACATGTCTTTCAACAAAAAACTGTGGATTCCTCCTTTCACCACGTCGCCTTCTAACCCTGGCACGACCATCGTGCATTCCTAAACAAAATCGAGACTTGTCACTAAAGACAATACTGTTCCATTCCTGATCCCAGAGTGACCGTTGTCTGCACCAGTCAAGGCGATTACGTCGGTGTTCTCAAGTTAAAGGGAGGCCGGTATGAAAACAAGCCAAAACTTCTCATTCGTCGGTAAACACTTCGCATGCCAATAGGTCTTCCGTGTTCTGCAAACCATTCATTTGCAATGGACCTGGTAGTGGAGAAACGGTCCCTTAAGGCCAATAATCTTAGGCGGCGATCTTCACGGTCTGTTGTTCTACGGCGGCGTCCAGTGCCTCTTGCTCTTTGCGTACGGCCTTCTCGAAATGCCTGGCAACTCCTAACCACAGTGCCTACACTTCTTTGCACTCTAACTGCAATTGCCCGAAAAGAAAGTCCACCTTCCCGAAGTCCCACTATACGGCCCCTATCAAACTCACTAAGTTGACGAAATCGTACAGGTCTCCGTACTCTAGGCATCGCAACCGATCGTAAAGGATGTCAAGAACCAAAATCCGCCAACGTTGATTCTTTACTGCGGCTGAAATATTCATTTTTAGAGCGTTAATGAATTAAAAAAAAGCAGTATAAAAACCGGAATGTCCAACTGATAAGGCTGAAAATTTTTTCACTTGTTATTTACAGTAAGATAAATACATTCACCAACTTTTATTAAAATAAAACCATTTAAACTGGGTGTTCGGATTTATATGTCACTTAGTATATATATATATATATATATATAAACAAGTAGGAAAATAATGGGCAAAATCCGCAAAAAGGAGGAAAGTGGAATCGAGCAGAAAATAGGATAGGTAACCCGAGCGATACGTATTTCTGCTGGTTGGCTTCATCAGGGCCGAAATGAATGCACATATGAAACTACAACAGTAGATACACATGTCCACACATCCGGATACGGGTGTAACCTGAGGAAACGAAGTTGGAGGGAAAAAAAAACGACACACGAAGTCCACAACAAGAGCCAACCTACACATTGTAGTATACAATGGCTATCTGGCCTCGAATTTTCAAGGAGACGTCTAACCACCACCACGCGGCCGGTTATAGCCACTTGCTGTGGTACTTCAAGCCCAAAGTATCTACAAAGAGGAAATTATCATGCAGAGAAATGTATATAACAAAAAGCAGGAAAATAATGGGCAAAATCCGCGAAAAGGAGGAAAGTGGATTCGAGCAGAAAATATGATAGGTAACCCGAGCGATACGTATTTCTGCTGGTTTTCTTCATCAGGCCCGAAATGAATGCACATATCAAACTACATCTTATACTACAATGTGTAGGTTGGCTCTTGTTGTGGACCCCGTATCCGGATGTGTGGGCATCTGTATCTACTTTTGTAGTTTCATATGTGCATTCATTTCGGGCCTGATGAAGCCAACCAGCAGAAATACGTATCGCTCGGGTTACCTGTCCTATTTTCTGCTCGAATCCACTTTCCTCCTTTTTGCGGATTTTGCCCATTATTTTCCTACTTGTTGTTATATACTTTTCTCCGCATGATCATATTCTCTTTGTAGATCCTTTGGGCTTGAAGTACCACAGCAAGTGGCTATAACCGGCCACGTGGTGGTGGTTAGATGTCTCCTTGAAAATTCGAGATCGTATAGCCATTTTATACTACAATGTGTAGGTTGGCTCTTGTTGTGGACTTCGTGTGTCGCTTTTTTCCTCCAACTTCGTTTCCTCAGGTTACACCCATATCCGGATGTGTGGGCATGTGTATCTACTTTTGTAGTTTCATATGTGCATTCATTTCGGGCCTGATGAAGCCAACCAGCAGAAATACGTATCGCTCGGGTTACCTATCCTATTTTCTGCTCGAATCCGCTTTCCTCCTTTTTGCGGATTTTGCCCATTATTTTCCTACTTGTTGTTATATACTTTTCTCCGCATGATCATATTCTCTCTCTCTCTATATATATATATATATGTATATCTTGTTTTACTGAATCCATACATTATCCGTACCAATATTATCCAGTTTCCAGTAGGAGTTACTTCTAGTCTCCGAAATAAGAGAGTACACGACCATGTAGTGATATAATTCTTGTTATCCACATCGATATTATCCGATTTAAACAGGAAGAACCCCACATATATGGATTGAAGGAAGAAATTCAGTTTCGTTTGTGGTTATGGAAAATTTCGATGTAAAAATTCAGGTTTATCTGAACCCTATGTGAATTTTGAGGCTCCCTCTAAAGCATGAATTTCGTACATTTTCTGCAACAAACTAGTTTAGTTTTGAATCCTCTTAGTCCGAACTAGCCGCCCCAAAAAGGTAGAGTAGACAAAACACTGCATATAATCAAGGACTAAGCATTGTTACTTACTTGAGATGCAGTGCGTCTGTGCAGCAAACAACGTTTCACTTTCGTTGGATTCTAGATTGTTTAGATAGTTCCGGCTCCCCTGTCGTGTCCAACCGTTATCATGTTTTTTGACCTCCATCAGCATATTTTGGGGCATTTTCTGATAAAAATGTCTGTATGTACCTTAAGTTTAGCATATTCCGCTTCATGAAGCATAAAGCCGTTGATGATATTGACATATTTGAAAACTTGAATCAAACATTTTTTATGGCGAAGGGAAACTGAACCCCTGCACTTCTGTAAACCATTTCATGCGTCCCCATGTTTTAAATACCCCTTCGAACAACTTGCATCAATAAAATCAGACCATGACGGTTAATAAAAAAGTTACCCAACAAACGTATTTTATTTCTAGAAGAAGAACCTTATCGTTCACCTTCAAGAATATATTTCTGTTGCAAAATCAGTGTAAACTTTTTTTTTACTAAATATCCTGATCTAAGGGAAAATGACTACTACAACTACTAGCGCTTGTGTATTGGAAACACTCTTTTACCTTTTGTTCCAATTTGCAACCGCCATAACTACAGAACATTTTCTTTCAATATACAATGGAATGCCGGCTTCCAGAAACATTAATCAACAAAGCTGTATTCACACACACTATCCATTGATACACGATCAAAGCGGGTTTGGTAATTTGATACAGCTTACTGTCTATTCATAAAGCTTCTGCTACTTTGTTTCCATATGTTTCCCCAGAATTTGCCAAAACAAACTCGACAGCTAATGAGCCAGAAATATTTGACAAACAGCTAACTCTGCAGTGGAGTAGCATGAGCAGGAGGGAAACAGCTCCTGCGTCGTAATGAACAGCATTCTTCTGTAAAGTATTGAATCGCAACAGTCGCACCCTAAATTCAATTCTGCTATAACTGCACCTTCAAACATGCTGTAACTGCAATATACTTATATTGGTACTGAAATCGCAGCCATGGCAGTTTTGAACTAGAAGGATTCCAAAATCGTACCATCGGACAATTAATTTTCGACTGAGATTTTTGTAGTACCATGACATGCTGGTTTCCTAGATCTATAGTATATTAGTAATTCTAATTAACGTGTTTTCTAAAAAATTGTGCGAAAAGTCAGCGAAAAATTAAAATTATCTTCATGATTGATAATAGTTAACTTAGTGAGATGATGAGTTTGGCTAACTGCATTCAACAGTCGCTGACAGTCAGAAGCTTCTTGGAACTGGCAGATTGTGACTTCAGTGGAATGATGATTTCTCTAAGAAGCCTTTAAGGCCATTCGATGTTTGATTTTTATAGTGCGCGGATATACATACGAACTGAGAAAACTGAAAGTTCATAGCCAAAGGGTGACTGCAATGTGAGCTGTGTATTGAGTGGGAGTATATGGTTATTTGTTAATAAGCAGAAAGTTTACGTTGAGTTCACATTCTGTTCATGACATATGGGTAACTGAATTCTAAATTTTTGCATCCGCTATCGGATCTAATATTTGCAACATCCAGCGACATGTAACCATTTAGCAAATTAGGAGTAAAATATGTAGAATTTACATAACTCCATAACAACTGATGACTAAAGAACAAAATATACTCAGTGACATTAGACCCAGGAAAAATAATTTCTACAAGTTGATTTCTTGACAATGACGTAGTCTTTCATCAAGAATGAAACGATAACATTCTCACGAAATTTTATTCACAACTAATAAAAAAAATAATTAGTAATGTGTTAGGCGACCCCGCAGCTGAATACACTCCTGTATACGTCTAGGCATCGACAAAATGAAATGATCGATATGTGGTTGTGGCACCTCATTCCAAGTAACTCAAATTTTGTGGATTAGCTGAGGCAGAGTTCGTGGCGGATGGTGCAAAGTGGATAGTCTCCTCTCGATCATATCCCATACATGTTCGATGGGATTTAAACACGGTGAGCGGGGTGGCCACGGCAAAACATTAACGCCTGCTTTCTTGAAGGAAATCCGAAGTACGACGAGCAGTATGGGGACGTGCGTTATCTTGCTGTGGGTAGCCCCAGTAAAGTGGTCTGTACGACATCATCAACATAACGCGTAGCAGTCGTACTACCTTGAACAAAGAGAAGGGGTGATCGGCTACCATAGGCAATAACGCTTACCACTGGCAAATGAAAGGGCAGTAACTAAAAATATCTGTACTACTCAGCTCCCAGAAACTGATTTCTTCACAAAAACTATCGGATAACATTTTAACAAAGTTAAACAAAAACAAACATAAATCTTTGGCATTGTTGCCACAGCATGCTTTGAATATAGTCATTATGTTGCCAAAGTTGAGGAAATTATTTTTTCTGGGTATAACACGTCTAATGTCACCGTAAACTCAATTTGAAAGTCTGGGAAAATTAAATGTTTCATGAAAAACCGTTTTAGGCGGTGTTCACTTGCAACACGTACACGGGGTCCAACAAACAGGTCAAAAAGGGACAGTTTTGCGGCCTTTCTTCATACATGTTGTTCACTCATCAGAATACAAAACTAATACTTCATAATATTTTCTAAGTTTGTGGAAACACGCCCAACCGCCTTTCCTTGGTAGATTTCTCACTTGGCTTATTCTCGTAGTATTACTTAACCCAGATGTGCCCAAAATGTAGTACATCTCAAACTTGTCGATTCTTGTTAAAAGGAGTCTGTAAAACCGATTAGTTCATTCGTTTCGTTTAGTATACCGTTGTTCGGCTTAGGGTACGGTTGTTAGTTTCGTCGTTTTCTGACCAACTATTAATGTACTTTGACGTTTAAGTACTACATTTCGACGAGATGGCTGAATGCGGCATCAGGTTTGCAAGGTAAGTTGATTTTGACTATTTACATCGAAGTGGATTTCATATAATGGTGTAAATTGCTACGCATAAAGTCGATAGAATGGATATCTGCTTTACGCAATGAATAAGATTGCCTACCTTTTTCACAGTTTAGGAAAAGATCTATCCGTACATTGGGCAATTATACAACTGCCACTTTTTCTATATTACCCTTAGTTTTTAGTGGTATATACGTAAGCACCTATGAAATAACTTATTTATATATATCGTTGTTTCAGAGGGTTTTCATTACACGAGACCCTGGTTATGATCGAAGGTGACAAAGTGCAAGCCGATACCATCACACTGTTTCCACGACAGATGAAGATTCGGGCGAAGAGGACAATGTAGATATAAATAATCTGCCGCCATCTCAAATGCAGAGTGAAGTGGAAGTGTCTTCTAGATACCAAATGAAAGATACATCTGATATATACTCGGAAGACGATATACCCTTGAGTCAATTGGCAGAAGCAATCAAAGGAACACGTAAGCAGGCAAAGAAGAAGAAACGTTATAATGATGTGAAAGAGACAGTTAGTGCTGCTTTTGACAATCCTTATCATGACTAATTTGAATATTCTGCTTTCTCGCTCTTTAGTTTGTTTTTTGATGACGAGCTTTTTGAAAAAAATACGTATGAAACAAATAGGTATGCATCACAAAAGAAATCAAATAACGCGAGTGTCAGCGAAATGAAATGTTTTGTAGGGGTGCTTCTTCTGAGTCGTGTTGTTTCACTTCCAATGCGCAGAATGTTCACGGAACGTCCTAAAGATTGTCACAGCAAAATTGTGGCTGTCGCGATATCTAGAAATAAATTCGAATTTATTTTATTACACATACATGTTCAAGACAATAACTCTCTAGATAAATCTGATAAGTTTGCTAAAGTCAAACCACCTTATAGTGACCTGAATAGAAGGTTTTTGAAAACAATAAAGTGAAGAAGACCACAGAATCGATGAGGCCATGGTACCATACACGGGAAGATATGGCTGCAAACAGTACATACATGGTAAACCGATACTTTATGGCTTCAAGTTATGCTTGGGTTGGGACTACCAGACAAGGATAGATAAATTGGTTTGAGCCTTATCAAGAGGCATCTACAAAGATTAGCCAAACCTACAAAGATCATGAGGTCGGAACAGCTGTTGTTGTTGTTCTTGAGTATGAGCACGTTCTCCGGTCAAGGTGGCCGGTACTGAAGTTTCATTTATTTTGTTTACGTTTGTTTTGTTGTGCTGTTAGAGGAACTGAATGGAAAACGATTATTTGGAACTTTAGTATACCAGAAAATCGTACTCCCTGTAGTACATTGTGTGAGACAAAGAGTATGAAGAAACAACAGCGTGGCTCCTATGATTACATACAAATTGAAGATTTTAATATAGCTTTCGTCAAATGGAATTATAACAACATAGTCACTTTTTGTTCCAATGCAGTGGGAGTTAATCCCCTGCATTCTGTGAAAAGATATTATCTGAAGGACAGAACGTTTATTCTGGTAGAGCGTCCAGGTGGTCCAATTATATAATAGGAACATAAGAGAGGTTGACCGTTCTGACCAAAATACTCGTATAAGCCTCTATCGTACCATCATAAGAGGAAAAAATTGGTATTTTCCTCTTATAACTGACCGCATAGATATGGCAGTGCAGATTTTCTGGCAAATTCATAAAAATTGTGGCTGAACTATGGACCAGTTAACTTTTAGAAGAGCCATTGTAAATGCTATGCTGGTTAAAAATAAAAAACATGTGTGTATCAGATGGGACACACATTTCAATTCCAAAATTTAGAGTTGCGATATGAGCGTCTGTACCACTGAGTACTACCACAAGGAAACCACACAAGATGTGCAGCTTGTCATCAGAAAATAACAACTCGCTGTCAAAAATGTGACAAAGGGTTGCATGTTAAGTGTTTTTTGATGTATCATACTAAGCCCAAATGATTTTAACGTAGCATAGCAAGTGCCCATTGTCGGATAATATAGGACACCTTCAAAAACAACTTTTTTGACTAAAAAAAAGTTTCAGAAGTTTTAGTTGTGTTCTTGTATCCTACTAATGCCCCTTAAACGCAACACTATGAAGAAGCTGGAGTCATGATATCTTGGGGCATATCTGGATTAAACTTTACTATCGTTCATCAATTAGTGTAAGAAATGCGAAGATGTACTAAATTGGATTCTACTACATTCATACCTAGCATCGTCATTCTAATTGATGGAGGAGTTGAGAAAATGAATGAATATTAAAAGTTTTCAGCTAGTTTCATGTTCTTAGGAATAAAAATATACTCATAAGGAGCTTCAAATCACACGACACCCTATTCCATTTAGAAAAATATTCAGAAATCGTGTTCATTCGCCATCTTGGAAGGTTTAACTGCTACTTGCTAACTTCACCCGTTTAAAACCTAAGTAATGTAAAATGATTCACTGTAATGTTTTTTCAGGGACTTCGGACTCCTCGGCCGTTTTTGACAAAAGCAGTGTTGCTTCAGTTCTACTCCTATCGAGTTACTCTGCAGTCAGTCTCCCAAAAAGTTGGAAAAAAGCCTAAAACCTGATAAAGAGATTTAAAGATGTACAAGTATATCCAGAGGTTTTAAGGGTAGCTGAGCGAGTCTTTTTCCAAAATCACTATATCTTCAAAATGGCGGAACGGCTGTATCGGAATCAGTAACATAATCAATAAAACAATATTAAAGACCCCTTTTCGCAAAAACGGTTTATTCTATAGAAATTGTATATACATTTTTTAAGATAATTCGTGCTTCATCTGTTTTTTAATAAAAATACTTGAGAGCTATTCTTATACAAGGTGGACAATTTTTACTTCTCATGCCACTGGCGAGAAGTATTGTAATTGCGAAATAATACGAAAATGAGATGGATGTTAGATGACATCTACATCTACATCACGAACACACGTCACTCATTTCCATCAGTCTGTTGGTCTGTCAGTCTGTAGAACTATCTGTCTGCTAATCCTTCGCCCGTGCATAACTTCCGTTCGGATTTTGATGAAATGTCTTCAAAAATCGATCCAGCGGTACAAAAAAACGAAAAAAAGTACAAACTATCTCTTTACGTTTCAAGAAATCCTGATGGTTATAAATAAATTTTGTATGGGTTAAATATTGGGAATGGGGGAGGGTCTATGTGAATCTCCCAGCTTTAGCACGTTTATATGTTTCCAGCCCGAGTTCATATTTCACACATCATAGATTTCCCAGCACATATGCCTAGAAACTTGAAGAAATATTTGCAAACGCGTCATATCTCGTCTCGGACGTTCAAGCTCTATCTGCACCTGGAGCTCTCGGTCTCGAGTTACAGTATCATCACTGGCGCTTATGGCTTCTTTAGCTGGCGTGGTTCAGCGTCTTTGCCAGATGATCAATACTTTGGGCAGGGGTAGGGAAGACATTTCTAGCGTTATCAAATAGGTGGGAACTACGGACTAATTATCTAGGTGCGTGTGGCTGAATTGACTTCTTTAGTTATATATTATGTTCATAGCTAACTTTTTCTTCAGGGGGCGCTTACTTTTGCAAAACATAATCCATTATGAACTAATTGTGACCGCATTGCGTGGGAAGTGCAGAGTCAGCCTACCTGATGCCATTTTTATCATTATTCTGTCCCTGTTAATGTAAATAATGTAAAAATGGATCTCCACGATCACCGTCATATGAGGTTATATAATCGCTTTACTGTGGATTCCTATTGTAGCTTGTATCTTTGAAACAAAGAGGTATTTCGAAATTCCTCAAAAGACAAAACAGTCTTAAGATAGTCCAAAGAAGTACCACTTGACTTTTTAACTCATGTTTTAAAAACACCCTGTATACTGTTCTACTACCTCACTGTACTAACTCCGATTCCAGTGCAATATAAATCCACTACAGTTAAATACACCTCGGCACTTCCCGTCTGATCAGCATGGAGGTTGTTCTCACAAAAAGAAAAATTAATTAACATCCACAGTGTGCTGCTGGCATTTTATTCACTTCAAATAAATGAGCACTTACGGATGTTATGAGGACTGCTAACAAAGGGAGGTGCATTTTTATTTACAATGAAGTTGTAAAAAGCTTGTTCAATAATGTATGCTTCAAGTAACTTGATTGGTTGACTGATTCATGTAAAACGGAATCTAGAGACTTATATTTTCAATAATAAGTGCGAGATTACCGATAATACTTTCGCAGTAGTACCTATATGAAAAAGGGTTCGTACGTCATTTTCCGAACCAATGCAGGATTGGCGATAGTTAGTGTGGAGGGATGTACTGTTTGTACCACCACAACAACCACTATTCACTGGGTGCATGGTGACAGCCCCTTCTAGCGGATATCACACAGACATATTTGTACTTTACACGTGCAATATAAGAATAAACAAATATCAGTAGAAATGCAGACATTTAATCCATTCGATGCTTGGAATTTAAAACTAACAGTTGTATTGACCTGACACATGATTACTGTGAAGTATTAGTAGTATTACCAGGACTCCGTCAAGCCCACATGACACAGATTTCATCGTAGAAATCAAAGCCGACGATGTTTCCCTCTTTCTCCACCGCGTGCGTGGCGATCGATTTAGTTTCCCCATTATGCACTTTGCTCCTCGTGAGTTGGTGGTCCAGAAGGAAGTGCTGCCTTTTGCAAAAAGAAAAATTTGGGTATTCCTTGCGCGTGGTATCTTAGAATGGGTAAAAATATTGAGTTTCTAGACTTCCACGTCAAAACGCCCAAAGACACGTATAAAATGTGTGTGGATGGAATATTACTCATAAACAAATACATTTTTGGAAAATCTATTTATGGCATGTTATACATGACATTTGAGGGAACATTTCTAAAATATTGGCAATTATACAGGGTGCCCCAATTTTGACATACATATCAAAGTTGTGATTTTTTTAAATGGAATGGCTAAAATTTTATTGCATATTTGGATAAACCAATTCAAAAGAAGCAGATTGATTTATATCGAAAAAACTTACACACCTCAGCTTTTATCTTATTTGTTACTTTTTCGAATTTTCATTTTTGCTCATACAGGGTGGTCAAAAACGCAAATTATACTTTTTCTCAAACATTTCAAATGCATCACACTGTATATTTGTGCAAGTTTGGATTCAATTTTTTATAAGCTTTTCTTTGATACCAGACACATAAGGGCTTTTACTGCTATTTTTTCGGTTATTAGCACGTCTGGAGCAGTGGAATATAGTACAAAATGTATAAATAATCCAAGCGCCACAAACGAGGCGAATCACTTGGAGGTTATATTAAAGTTGCAGAAAAATACACATTTAAGTGTACGGCAAATTGGATCAGAAACTGACAAATGCAGAACTTCTGTTCACATGATTAATCACAAGCATAGTGTGGAAAATGTTTCCGGCCCTTGGATGTCGCATATTAGGGTACAGTTGTTTATAAATGCGATATGCTAGGAAACTATTTCTTTGAGGTTCGCCCAAAACGAACACCATATTCACCATTTCTTCTTTAGAAAAATTCATTTCCAAACACGTTTTTATTATAATGCTCACAAAGTTAACTTTGACAGTTTGTAACTAAACAGCAATTTATTTGTTTCCAAGGATGATACGATACTTTTGCCGTTCCATAAAACACGAGCTAATAACCAAAAAAGTAGCCGTATAAACCCTTATGTGTCTAGTATCAACAACAACAATTTGCGTTTTTGACCACGCTCTATGAGCAAAAATTAAAATTCGAAAAAGCAAAAAATAAGATAAAAGCTAAGGTGCGTAAGTTTTTTTTGATACAAAATTCAGCACTCCAAATTTCAAGATGGCGGACTGAGGAGTTGCCGAAGTTGGGGGTTTTTCTAGACAAAACACCTTATAGCTCAGTAGCTAATTACCAAAACCCCATAGTATTTTATTACAATTTCCTTCCTTTGAATTGGTTTATCCAAATAGGCAAATTTGAGGCATTCCATTTGAAAAATCACAACTCTGATATGTGGTTGGGACACCCTGTATAATGGCCAATATTTGAGAAATGTGCCCTCGAATGTCATGAATAACATCCCATTAATATATTTTCCCAAAATGTATTTTTTTATGAGTAATATTCCGTCCACACATTTATGGGCCATCATGTATAGAATATGCATGAATATTATTTACGGAAAATGTTTGAATGAAACGTTTATAAAGATATGTAAATGGTAGATGAAAGTTAATAGAAATTATGCGTAGCTACGTACTTCAAAAGGCAATTTAGCATCCATGACAACTATCCAATGCGCTACCAGAACAAAAACTGGGTAACTTATTTGATGTGAGTGATATCAACGGAACTCCGGGTGTGTTTATGCGGGAGAAAACAGCATTATCCCAGAAAATGTATAACTTAGCCGAATTTTCCATGTGTTGTGGTCAATTTAGATAGAGTTTCTTGAATAACAGCAAAGACATAAATAGTGCATGTCAAGTTAAAGTTCCAGTAAGTGATCTCACTATACCTTAGAAAGGTATCTATCTTTATCTAGCTACTGAAAAGGCAAATATTATCACAAATAATAGATATGCGTATTAGAATATTATGCAATAAGTTAAACTATTACATCTGCTGTATCACAACTAGAAAAGTTATCTAGACACATCTATGTAGCAGACAGCTAAAATCTCGCATAACAGTCCACCGGCGCGGCGCTTTGCACATATTCGACCCAAAATTGAATTATTTTAGAATTCAATATACATAATTTAAAGTCTTGCTGAACTATGGACCATTTTACAGCCGACTAAGTCAATTTGCCGGTTTATTCTCGATAAATAACGAGCAGACATACACACACCTTTTGAGAAACCACGCAAATGTACTTGAGTATTGAAGCAATTGAATATTTTTCAGACACCATCTACAATATTGAAATAGGATACCCTAACGGATGTTGCATCTTATAATTTCAGCTTGCATGTCCTATCTCGTGTATAAACTTACATCATAATTTTAGTATGTTCTGATTCGTGTTATCATTTACAGGAACTGAAGCAAAGAGTCCAACAAGCAGTACTTCCAATCGGCGAAGAAAGATCCTTGAGAAATACAGAGATTTCTTCTGACGTTTTCCAACTTTGGTTGGCAGCCTCGCCAGCCAACAATAACACTAAGCAAATTCAAAATGTACATTCCGATAGGGACTACGATAACATGGAGGTAAGCTTCTTCGTAGAATTCAAGCCTTAAGTATCGGACACGAATTTCGTGAGACTTATCAATAATGTTCCCATTGTTATGTATTTCGTACGAGTATGTACCATACTAGTCACTGAATCAGGAACAAAACGCAAATATATCCTACCCTCTAGTGAGACATTATAAACGTCTAATGATTTCTGTTACATTGGAGCCGCGAACTTAAATAATCTAAGAATGGAGAAGCAGCCGTACAACTCCTGTTGTGCATGACCTGCTCGATTCAGACTGAGAATGCATCGACATCATGGAGAGAGCTTGGGGAGCAAGGTCTGTCAGCATACTGGTAAAAGGGATAACCCAGCGTCTAACAATATGAGAGGCCTAAGACTGCCTATCAAAAAATGTCACCGGTCACAGCAACACCTCTCCTCTGAGCCATACTAAGTCTTATTGAGAGTTTGTATACGGTGAGGAAAAGTAGTTTCTCTAAACAGATAAAGCAACTCCCTTCCACAAGCTGCTATGATCGAGGCATGTACGCGCCAAGCTATGTACTCAGTGATTCGAACTCGGACTAGCCGACACAAATGACTTTTTGACAAATGTCGGCCATCCCACAAAAGTGGCACTCCGCTAACACAAAGGCCTAAATATTGGCGGGTATAGTGTTACCATATGAGGGTACATGGAAGAGAGTAAGATGGTGTGGCTCCGCTCCATGCGAATGTGACATGCACGCACACTCTGGTCGCACTGTTATCCTCTTTATATGGAGACCATCTACCACAATCATAACAAATAATATCCTCTTTGCTCATCAGAAAAATTTTTAACGCGCTTATATTAGCTTAATCTTTGAGCATAATTTTTTTCACCAATTCTCAGAAGTTTGATTAATTTGAAACTTCGCACACGTATCGAGGACCCACCCAATATCATGACATGTCCACAAAAAACTAATTGATAAATCGAACTTGAAAATGAAAAATAAATAATAGTTTAGGAGAACTAAAAAACACGCTTTAACAGCTAACCGATCTAAAAAGTAGAAAATAATTTTTAATTACAAAGAGTTATATAACGGTAGTAGATGATCGAACAATCAATCATAATTAATGACCTAAAAATAAAATTATAATAAAATTTACTTTATCAACAGAATAATTCAATTTAGAGTAAAAAGCAACTTCCCGTTATGCCATAAGACTGCTGTCTGCAGATGACTACCGACATAATTAGCAAATTTCTTGTTTCAAATCTTTGACATTTTGTAAGATAGTATCCGAGTTGAAAAGCGAAAGAGTATTTCGAAGAGTTTCAGTTTGGGTAGGAATCCTGTGCTCATTAACTGCTTAATTATGGGACTGAGAAAAGTGGCATCAATAATCCTGTTTACTTGCCTCACATGGCGTACAGCATTATTAATATCATGATATTGTGTCCTAATGCATGGACAGACTAGGATCACTCACTTACGATCTAGTCCGAAAAGATGTGGAGATGGAGCCCAGCAAATGTGCGTTATTTCCATGCTGAAAACTCTGGCAACTACCGACAAAGTCTTTCTATGGGGAATCGTGGAGTTCTTATTTCACATACATCGCTCTGGATACCTTTGTCATCGATTAGATTATATTCGGTTTAATTTCAAACGTAACGCCAAATGAACTATGAATCAAAATAATTGATCAAAGCGATTTCCAAAAGACAACGATTTGTTTAATTTCTGTTTATACAATCTGGACTAATCAGTTGAAGGTAGTAGCAGTAGCTGCTAAAACGGAAGTAGTATAAATAGGCTCCTAGCAGAATTTCAGGTCGATTCCACAGACTCGAATGGAGTCGAAGGTTGAGTAGACATGATCACTTACATTTATTTTTGTTAATGAATAGTTGTTTACTATTCGTCATTGTTCATCAGAGCAGTACGGTGGACCTTTGCCCTTAGCTAAAAGTCTCGTCGGTCAGGTTTGGTTACCCAGATTCCAAACACGTTTAAGGGGAAAAGGGTAAGAAGGAAAGAAAGGAACGAAGAAATAGAACAAAGAAGAGTAGTGAATCATTTGAAATAGCTTAGGCATTATTGGTTTGACTGCCAGAATAATTTTATAACTCCAAAATATAATTTTGATAGGTTTTGTATACTGAAGTAATTTTTGTTGGTCTGAAATTCACAATTTGATTTTGATCACGGTGCGAGGCGCGGCCTGGAACTTTTGTGATTTTGCTCGACAATGTAGTCTACTGAATCACGCAACGGAGGGTTGCTGTGCGATTCGGTTCGATTATAACGCTGCTGTGTCTGTTGTTTTACATAATCCGTTAGATATCGGATATCAAGATCCCTGTGAATGGTTTCATTTAGCACATACCATGAGGCTTTGGTGATTGCGCGTAGAGTTCTGCTTAGCAGTCTCTGCATGTGCGTCTCTGCAAGAAAATACCGAGCTGCGTATGCGTAGATGATTGCGGGTCTTATGAACATTTTATACAACCGAATCTTGTCGATCAAACTTAATTTTGAATCTCCGCACACAAAGGATAAATCTGCCGCAAGGTGATTAGGAAATTTGTTTTTAAAATATCGGTATGTTTCTGCCAGGTCTACCCGTTGTCTATGATGACTTCAAGGTACCTGAGAGACTGTTGCCATGGCATACCAGTTCCATTTCTCTCTGGGCACCGGCGTCTTTTAGTAAAATATATTGCCTGCGTTTTCGAACTATTAATTTTGATCACTGATCCGCCCATTCCAATACTTCCTCTATCGCACTCTACAGTCTGTCGTGAACCAGGTTACCAGAACACGACTTGGCTATACAGCAGTGCAGTGTCGTCAACATAGAGATATACTTCACAGTTGCTAGGGCAAGGAACGTCTTGTACATAAAGAGAATAAAGAATTGGTCCTAAGACCGAATCTTGAGGAACACCGGCTCTCCCGCGCCGTGTTGTTGACAAAATATTGTTAATTTTGTTCCAAAACTTCCTGCCTTCTAGGAAAGATTTCAACAGTTCTACTAGCCTAAATGGAAAGCCCTTTTGGGTGGTCTTATACAAGAGGCCCATGAGCCACACCCTGTTAAATGCCTTTGATTCATCTAAAAGCATATGTACATACATGCTCCACCAGTCCAACTGCCTGTAGCTCCATACTATGCTCAAACCGTCAGCATAAACCTCCATTTTATCCTCAATCCTGAAAGCTATGCCTCCAGGATTATGAATATGTGGTTGTCCTTGCCCTCCCTTTTCGAGCGATTTTGCCACTTTCCAGATAGGAATATTTGAGTCAAGCATTCCCGCCAGAAAGTCGCTCCACTGCTCATTACGGAATTCTTTTTTTTTTTATACTCCAACTACCACGAAGGCCTGAGGCCTAAGCACCCATTGGGTACCGTGGGGCTATGGGGGATACATGGGAAAGGGGGGACGCCACACGGACTCTGGCGAGGGAACACGTGTGCATGCAACATGCACACATTCTGGCTCCGCCTACGAGAACCGCTGGGTGGTACCTCCGCGTTCGACAGTCAGAGACCATCTACCACCTACGGACAATCACAACATCCATGGCCAAGAGAAACATTTCTCCTGGAGACGGGAATCGAACCCGCACAGCGCACGGCGACTGATCAGGAGACCGAAGAGTCTACTACTGCGGCCACCGCTGCTGCCTAAAACAAACACACAACATCCATGGCGAAGGCGAGATTCGAACTCGCGGCCCGGCCGGCCGGCTGATCAGTAGCACGACACTCTGACCCACGCGGCCAACCGAGGTCCCCCGTCGCTCTACGAATGTCATCAGCATGACAAGACCTTTTTGTTTGCTTGATGGCAGCCCTCTTTTCAGAAATTTTCTGACGGATTTCAGCAGGGAAAAAAGGTCTGCCGTGTCGCTGCACTGGAAGCACAGCACACAGTTTGGTGAACGAAACTTGTCCACTCTGATGGAGCAACATTTATTCCGTTCTCACCATGAATGACCGGGCCACTGAGAAACTCTTTGAGAAATGACTTGTATAGTTTTTCCTCGGAGGAGTTTCCTCCTCCTCTACGAAATGCCCACTACCTACCTCCAGATCAACAGATATATGGTCACTAGAGATGTCATACAAGATCCTAGAAGCCATACTGAATCTGCAGTTTTTAGATATTGCAGTCTGTAATATCGGGTGCCTGAAGGTGATTGGAAGGATTAATAAGATATCCGTATTGCATCATATGGTTGCAAAGCCGAACCCCACAAGTAGAATCGCAATAAGAGGGCCCAACAGTCCAGAAGGGCCCCCAAGTCCTCCTCTCTTCAATTGACCACTACGGAAGCCACTTCAATGCTGTGCATCTTGGTGTTTGTGCTTCTGTGATAGTCGATACCACAGTTAGCCAGCACAGCCAAGCCACCACCCCTACCATTCAATCTGTCAGCGCGTATAACATCATAATTGGAGAAAGCTAAGCGATCTCCCTTAGGCCCAGACAATTCGAAAAAAAACTGATAAATGCAGGTTATCGATTGTATTTAGCCATTCAATGGCTGCGGAAAAATCGCCTGTAATGCATGAGTGGCGCTAATCAGGGAACTTATTATTTGTTGAAGCCACATAAGCGCAGATGCTGGGTCCACATTTTGCGTGTTCAAAGTGGGTTGATCACAGTTGGTTGCTTCCGCGGATGACTTGCTGCGTCTTTACGCTATAATTTCCAGATTTCTCCTGGGGGTGAATCTGCAAGTAGAACTCCAACGGGATGTGCCCTTCTACAATTCGCACACCTTCGCTCCTCTTGTCCTGTCTGTGAGGGGGCATACATTTGTCATGTGGTCGGAAGCACATTTTTAACATTTGGGAGGTGCTGTGCCCTAAGACTGCGCATGACCATACCTTTGACACTGCCGAATAAGTCTAGAGTTCTTTTCATCTTCAAATCCGATTGCTACATATATTTAATGAACATGAGCTGCTGCGTCTTTTCAATCTTGGGCAGTATCACGACCACCAAAGACATGGGTGCGCCACCACTGTGTTCTATGTGCCCTTGATCTCTTCGTCCGAAAAGTTTGATGGTATGCCTCTGACTACCGCGTGAATATTTCTTTCACTTGGCCGCAAAGCAAAGGGCGTCATTTGGATTTCGCTTTTGGAAGACATGGAAAGTAATCCATCTTGTCGGTTTTGTCCGTTTTGTCTGTGCATTTTTTCCTAAACTTGGCCTGGATGAATCCATCATTCTGTATTTCATCGTGGATCGATGTCGTGTTATCAGTCAAATTTTGAAAAGTTCTTTTTAAATTGACAGCCTTGTCAGATATTTAATTAAAACCTCGATTATCAATTAACTGTGTTACCTGGATGGTCAGGCAGTCTATTTTACTATTTTGGTCCCTAACTGTCTTAGTCAGTTCAATTTTTTTCTGGGCCTGGCTTTCGATAATCAGGGTCAGTCGCTGGATGGTTCTGACCTTTTCGTGGGCTACAGCTGGTGTCATCAATTCCTTCGAGTCTCTCTTCTGGCTGGCTCCATTGATCATTAGGGACACTGGGGGATTATTGCTTTGACCTCCAGAGTCAATCTCCATGTTTTTAAATAGGTTTTGCGATTGAAGGACTCAAAACTTTCACGAGCAAAAATAAGACGTTTTGTCAATCATCCCCTGTACAGGGCGAATGACAAGATTTGTTTGCACATTCACCATATATGCAAAAACGAAAAATCATACTGTGAAATAAATCCATATACCCCAGACATCGTAATGTGTACGAGAGAGAAACGCGAGAGGTATGCAATACGTGTGTTAGAAAGACATAGCAGCTGCGGCTTGTTGCGTTGCTATCGGCGCACTCATTCTAACATTACATACTGTACGCTTCTCGCGCTTCTCTGTCGTACACATTATGACGTCAGCCAAATTTGAATGTCACCGTATAACCTATTATGTCTGTCAGGTGCGTAATATACGGAAATCGAAAACTCCTCTAACAATGGGACGTATTTGACTATTACAAATACGCCGCATTGACCGCTTACAGCTCCAATACCCAATTCCACTCCTTCCAAAACAGATTCTTTGAATGAGTAGACATTCAAAGAGGGAGTTACTCCCTGAAAAATGGACCTATTTGAAAAACCTACAATGACTTTTCGTCCTTAGCATAGTAGTTAATTAAAAATTTTATAAAAATCCGAATAGCGTCTTCCGCGTTATAGAGGGGCAAAAGAATAACATTCATACAGACAGAGCGGCGGACAGACTGAGCGACAGATAAAGAAAATATCTTGCCATGAATTGTTACTGTACTTGAAAAAGGCCACCGTACCGGCCAAAACGTGGTACAGTAAACAGTAATTAAAACATACGTGGTTTGACTCAGCGGAGACAACGGAATCTTATTGAACTTAACCTATGCAATAGATTGTAAGTTAATGATATGCAAATTTTATTGTGATATAGTCAGCTTCCGGTATAACGATGCCCTCAGATATGGCGATGTTAATATCGTTTTTGTTTCGCACTCATTAAACGGTACACTACGTACCTACTCCAGTTTAATGGCTATTCAAAGATAGGTGAATGTGCAAGTAAATATGAAAATTAAAATATTCATGAATGCTCAATTAGTGCAGAGGCGATTATAGGAATATACCCAAAACCCACTAATACAATATCAGTTGTCGTCGTCTGTGCCAATACGAATGGTGAACAAAATATATTGTTAAATACTACTATCATAATCCCTCACGAAGCATAGAAACGGGTTGAATGTAAGCGCGAATGCTTTAGGAAAGGGGCGATTTTACTAAGCCGGGCGCAAAAAAAGCGCATTGGTCACAAATTCGACCAATGAGAAGGCGCGTTCGAAGCAATCGTTCTAATGAATATGGTCGGTTTCTTCTAAAATATATCTCAAAGTAGAGAATAATTAAAAGGTTTGTGTAATTCGGCCCCTAATTTCTATATTAAATCAAGAAATACGTTATAGATCCCTTAGTTGAGCTACAAAAACTTATTGTTTCATTTTCATCCATATACTAACTGAGTGTCAATGGTCATAACATGCATCAATGAAAAAGAAGCATTTGTGCCATACTCGAAGCATGAACACAAATCTGATACATTATTTAGATTCATATGACTGCAACTGAATTAGCATTTTATTGAAGAAAAAGTGTTGGAGGTTGCTGTTCAGAATTCTGTTTGATAAATTCTTTGATGACATAAATAAAATCACAAAAGCATCAGGTAAATGATCAATTTACTTAAGTATCGTGCACAAAATCCTGATCCAGCTCTGCTAACAGGAAGCTCCCACGCCCCCTACTAAGCAGTTGGACGACCACTTGCAACCTTGCAACCGTCATCACGGCACGGCATGGTCGCGCAGTTGTTCCACCGTCCAGTAGAGAGCGCAACATCTCCCTGTTAAGAGTAACAGGGCTAGCTTGAGGAGCAGTTTTTCGCACTAGTGATGCAAAGTTTCGTTACTTTTTAGGACTTGTAAGGACTCGTTACTTTCGAACTTTGGACTCGTTAGTTTAGTTACTATTTGGACATTTCGTTTAGAACCTACATTCTATATATTATATCAAATTATTACTTTGGGATTGATCCAATTATTATTTTTTGTCTAATGCCTTGCCAATTAATTTTTTTGATATTTGATACGTAGAAGGTACTTATATTTTAAGCTCGTCGTTGTGTGACGTCTGGTTCGTCGGCTGTACGCTGTAAATAGTATTTAACAAGTGGCATAACCAGATAGGGACCGTGAAGGAACCACTCTCCTCACTCTTTACTTTAGTTGAGTAGCGTCTCCTGCCCTAACAGTCTGGTTACTCCCCTGCCCTACTTAACAGTCTGGTAACTCCACTGTAAATGGTGTTCAACAAAATACTTATAATAATAAAACATACCTGAAACTAAGTTCTTTTTGCACCTAGGCATATTTTCGTCTTCCACCCGCCGTTTTGCCCTTTCTCCTTTCAATGAAAGAGTCGGATGTTTAGTTTTCAAATGTTTCCTCAAATTGCTAATGTTTCCATTTTTATGCGAATAAATATTTTTACAAAGATTAGACTTTGCATTAGCTTCCGATATATTGGTGAAATGCATCCAAATAACACTTCTCTTTTGAGTTTGCGATTCTCCTGAACCGGACGCGGATGATTCCATATTTTTGTACAAATAATAATTATATTATTGCTCGAGCTTGTACGGCAACGTCCAAACCAATAACAACCCGCCAACCGCTAGCTCTCAAAGTCAAATGAAAAGTGTACAGGTGTACACAAACATTGCCAACCTAAAGCTCCGCAGTCCGCAACTCGTTTGATAGAAGAGTATCTAAAGTTGCCTAAGCCTAACGATATTCGCATCATTTCATTTCCACCCAGTTTACATCCAAGAACCAAGTCACTTTCTGCTGGCGCTGGCAGTACTGGCTACATTAGATCCCAGTAACGTTTGTATCTAAAGTAATGTATAGTGTAGTAACTAACAGTAATTAAAAAGTATACATAGAAAAAGACCGTATCGCATTCAAAGTAACGAATTCAAATAAAAAGTAACGAGTCTTTTTAAAAAGTAGGACTCGTTACATTTAGTTACTCATTTGTAACGATTATTTTGTAAGCGTTACTTAATTATTTTACATCACTATTTCGCACGGTAGTCAAGTAGATTGATTACTTACTCCATGTGTATTAAAGAATACGTAAGCATTCTGTGATATTATTTATGTGATCAAGGAATTCATCAAGTAGAAGTTTGTAGAGCACAGTGTGACAGTTATTTTCAATAAAATGCTCAGCGATGGCGTCATGTCAATCTATTGTATCAGGCTTAATACATGCTTCGAGTAGGCCACACATCCTTTATTATTTTGATTCGTCGACTTTGCGACTATACACACACCCTTCTTCTCGATTGGTGGAATTTGCGTCAACCTTTGTTGTGGCAGGGCATGAGTGAAAAATAGGTTTTTGTAGCTGAATTATGTGGTTTATGAAGTATTGTTTGATTTAATACGAGAATTAGAACCCCATCTTATACAAACCATATAATTTTCTCTAGTTTGAGAGACATTATACAAGAAATCGAGAAAATGCATTAGATTCTTTGCTTCAATTTGTGCCATACACAAATTTTGATTCCTGGTCAATAGTAAAGTCGAGCCTAAGATATGCTATTTAGATGATTCAATTTCAATCAGTACCTATCTTCGTGCAAGTCCGCAAGTATCACACATCCGTTTACATAAAATGCTTAAAATATGTTACTACTGCGGCAGGAATGAACAAACTTTGCAGCTTCCAATAGTTGTTCCAATGACGGAGTAACAATCAAGATACTATTAACCCTTCATTTTTCTATAAAGTTAACGGCTTTTTTAAATTCGATTGATATGTATTCTGACCTTAGTACCAGAAAAATCGGAAATAATTTAAATGTATCCCACGCCCTGCAGTGGTATTACGTAAAAAAACCTGAAAAATGGAAAAAACCAACGAAAAGTCATCTTGCAGACCAGGTAGTTTTTAGTGCACAAATAGTTCATTCCACGTTTGCTCGCTATGATCGCTGTGAGGGTATTACGTATCTTGGAAAGTTTTTTTTGACATTTCGTAGGTTTTTTCCACATTTAGCAGGTTTTTATACAAGATGCTAACTTAGCACAAGCTGTACACTTGTTATGAACTCGTTTTGTAGCTGTAGGTGTTGCTTAAGCGTCAGCGACCAGCGAACATAGCAAGCAAACGTGAAATGAACTATTTGCACACTAAAAACAACATAGTCTGCAACATGACATTTCGTTTGCTTTTTTTTGACGTTTTGCAGGTTTGTTACACAATAGCCGGACCGTGCTGGCTTGGATAAGTTTGCATGGTATTCTATTGTATCCGTGTCAAATTCGACAGGTACTAGCATTACTTCCACGAAAGCTTCCCTTCCGCATTAGTTGTCAATGGTTTTTGGAGAAAATTGCGCATAATCCCTTGTTTGAACATACAATAATGTTTACAGATGAAGCTAACTTTTCCAGGAGCGCAGCCAGAAATTCACTCAGTAGCCATATTTGGGCTGACGAAGACCCCTTTTCTTTCCAGAATATTTATATATTTATCGACGGTTTCCAGAGGAGGATTTGTACACATTGCTAGAAGTATTTTAATTAGAATGTGATTGATGCTCTCAGCATCCGCTTACTTTAGTGTTGCAGCAAAAGAATATTCAAATGACAAATGAATAGAACACCAGATTTGAATAGCTTAGACTAGACATCTTGAAAGTCCGGTTTATCTCACCCCAATAAACGGTTTCGTGCCATTAATGTCTGCTAAAATAGACAGCTTAATCCCGTACGAACACCACTGAGAGAGTGGCAAATTTGATTAAAATATCTACAGTTATACTACAAGAATTAATAAAATATCATCAATTTTTGATCACTTAACTACCCTGTACCTCAAAAGTTAGTATGTTATATGAAGTTTTCTTTTTAATATATATATATATATATATATATATATATATATTAATATATATATATAGGTGAAAAAATAAAGCTTCCGGCTTTTTTTGGATACTTCGATAAAACTCAAGCAGAGAGGACTCTTATACTTTATTAAACTCCAGCTTTCAATGGACTTTGCCATCTTCATCAGGAGCTGCAATAACATTGAAAAGAAATAACAACTATTGTGCACAGTGATTTTAAATTAACTTACAGTCGTATGTGAGGTTGTTGCTAAATGTGATTAACGTTTTGGTTGAGGAATACACCCAGTAACCTGGTGAATACTGGATACATGGTACATTTGTCAAAATTAATATAAACTACACACAGCTGTATGTTACGAACAAATTAAAACGGACTAAAAGTATTTGAAAACGAAAGTTAAAATTATAGTACATCATGAACCACCTGATGCAGGACAAAATGGTGGTTACAGGATCACAAGTAGGATGAAACATTTGACAGGTGCCAGAAGGTTGGTGGTGTCAGTGTCGGACGGATGGAACGAAAATTTATGTAAAGTGTGTGCTATGTTACCACATCACCTCAGATGGTGTTATTTGTCAAGACATGTTAAATAAGAACTTGTCAACAGACCAGAGGCAGTTGAACAAACTATATTGTTGATGAGATGGAAAGTTGAATTATTATTTTATTATGAGAAAAAAGCTCCGCCACCAACCTTCTGACACCTGTCAAATGTTTCATCCTACTTGTGATCCTGTGCCCACCATTTTGTGCTGCATCAGGTGGTTCGTGATGTAATTTTAACTTTCGTTTTTGAATATTTTTAATCCCTTTTAATTTGTTCCTGGCATACAGCTGTGTGTAGTTTATATTAATTTTGACATATGTACCATGTATTCAGCATTCACCAGGTTACTGGGTATATCCCTCAACGTTAATAACATTTAGCAACAACCTCACATACGACTGTAAGTTAATTTAAAATAATCTTGCCCAATAGTTGCCAATTCTTCTCAATGTTATTGCAGCTCCTGACGAAGATAGCAAAGTCTGTTGAAAGCTAGAGATTAGTAAAGTATAAAGAGTCCTCTTTGCTTGAATTATGTCGAAGTACCCAACAAAAGGCGGAAGCTTTATTTTTTCATCTAACTAGTCTAAACGACCATGACCACGTCTGAAGTTATATATATATATATACAGGGTTATCCAAATTAAGTGTCCACCATTAGTAACTTTGTTATTAGTGAAAATACAAAGTTGTTTGAATTAGCAAACTAGTAGCATTTTTAACGCTGGTAAAAATGAGAAATAAAAAAAAAACAATTGAGAGTCGTTATTTTGATTTTTTTCAGTAAAATAACATTTTTTTAAATGGAAACCCCTGTATATTATATTTTTTTCTGTTAAAGCATCAAATTTTAAACAAAAAAGCTTACAATAACTTTTCTCCTAGGTTACAAATTGTTGAAGTTATGGCCTCCAATCTGAAACAATTAAATTGTATCGACAAACTTTATTTTCAACATCAACTTATAATCTTACAAAATACAATAACAATTTTTTTTAAAGAAGATGCTCGAAAACACCACCTTGTTCTTCAATACATTTTTGGGCACGTTTTTCAACTGCTCGAACTGTCTTAAGTATGGTTCTACCATCTATCTGGGTTATCTTTTCCCTAACTGCAGTCTTTAACGCGTCAAGGTTATCGTACCTTCGCTTGTAAATTTGGTTCTTTAAGTAACCCCACAAGAAGTAATCAAGTGGGTTTAGATCTGGTGATCTGGGAGGCCACTGTATTGGGCCATTTGTTCCTATCCACTGATCATTAAAAGTAGTACTTAGAAAATGATAAGTACCTCTGGAGTTGTGGGCAGGTGCGCCATCTTGCTGAAAATGCAGATGATGTCTACTTATAAGATCCAATTCGTCTAAGAAATTAGTCAGAATTTCTGACATAAATTCCACATATCTTTCACCAGTTAGGGTTCCCTCATAAAAGAACGGGCCAACAATTTTTGAACCAATTATACCGCACCAAACGTTGAAACTGAAACGGACTTGTGGGCCTCTTGGATGTACTAACAAAAGATTTTCTCTTGACCAATAATGGTGGTTTTTTCTATTAAACATTCCAGAATTTGAAAAATTTGATTCATCTGTCCATAAAAGGTAACGAAAGTTATTTACATTTTGGCGACAGAAGCTAAGATACCAATGGCAAAAAACAAGTTTTCTCTCTGGATCCCCTGCCAAAAGCGTTTGAACTGGTCGGTACTTATACGGAATAAATTTGTATTTTTTTAAAATCCTTTGAACAGTACCATAACTGAAATTAGAGTCCTTGAGAATATCTGCTATTGAATTCTCACGATAAGCTTCAAAATATCCAATAACTGCAATTTCCGTGGCCTCGCTTATTATGAATTCTTTTTTTGCCCTTGTTTTAGCAAAAACATTTTCGTTGCCCCTAAATTTTCGATGAAGTCTCAGAAAATATCGTTCATACGGTTGAATGCGAGCGGGATATAATTCACTGTAGTATTCTCTTGCTCTCAAGGAGGATTTTCTGCACACTAAATAGCATTCTAACATATCACACTTTTCTTCATGGGAGAACATTTTTCTTTAAATTAATGACACAATAAAGCTTATAAACAAGTATTTACACTAATGTTTGACATTATTT